TACCAGGAACAACACTGATAGCGAAAGCACCATACCGATTAGCACCGACGTAGATGAAGGAGCTCATGACGCAACTTCAGGATTTGTTGGACAACGGTTTCATTCGTCCTAGTTCATCACCCTGGGGAGCTCCGGTGCTATTCGTGAAGAAGAAATACGGATGCATGAGGATGTGCATAGATTATAGAGAGATGAACACGGCAACGGTGAAGAACAAATACCCATTGCCGAGGATTGATGACCTATTCGACCAGCTGCAAGGTTCGAGCTATTTCTCAAAGATCGATCTTAGGTCAGGATATCATCAGCTGAAGGTGAGAGAGCAGGATATCGAGAAGACTGCATTCAGAACAAGATATGGACACTACGAGTTCTTGGGTATGTCGTTTGGACTAACCAATGCTCCAGCAACATTCATGGATTTGATGAACAGGGTTTGTAAACCATTCCTCGATAAATCTGTGATAGTGTTCATCGATGACATTCTTATCTACTCGAAAAGCCAAGAGGAGCATGGCAAGCATCTATGAGAAGTGTTGGAAGTCTTGAAGAAGGAGAAGTTGTATGCAAAGTTCTCCAAGTGTGATTTTTGGATCCGAGAAGTACAATTCTTGGGTCATGTGGTTAACCAGGAGGGAATAATGGTTGACCCAGCAAAAATCGAAGCTGTGATGAAGTGGGAACGTCCAAAGAGTCCCACAGAGATTCAAAGCTTTCTTGGATTAGATGGATATTACCGAAGGTTTATCCAAGGATTTTCTTCGATAGCTGCTCCATTGACAGCTTTGACCCACAAAGGAGCTACTTATACATGGAGCGAGAATCACGAAGAAGCATTCGAGAAGCTAAAGAAGAAGTTATGTGAAGCACTGATTCTTTCTCTACCTGATGGAGTTGAAGACTTCGCGGTCTATAGTGACACATCTGGAGTTTGGATTGGGTTGTGTTCTGACCCAAAGAGAAAAGGTGATAGCATACGCATCTCGACAATTGAAGGAGCACGAAAAGAACTATCCCACTCACGATTTGGAGTTGGCAGCGGTAGTTTTTGCTCTAAAGATATGGATGCATTACCTCTATGGAACGAAGTGAAAACTTTTCACTGATCATAAGAGTCTCTAGTATATCTTTAATCAGAAGGAGTTGAACATGAGGCAACGACGTTGGCTAGAGTTACTCAAGGACTACGACTGTGAGATACTTTACCACCCCGGTAAAGCAAATGTTGTCGCTGATGCTCTCAGTCGAAAAGTCAACCTTGAGAGAAAAAGGCCAAGAACGTTGAGAATAGAAGTTGTCTCGACCATTGTGGAAAGTATAAAGAAAGCTCAAGAAGAAGCTACAGAGAAGAATGACCGAAAAGAAGAACGTTTGGGTAAAACGTTGGTGTTCAGTACAAATAGTCAAGGACTGAAGGTATTCCAAGATAGAATTTAGGTACCTAATACGGGAGGGATACGAGATTTTCTGATGGAAGAAGCTCACAAGACCATGTACTCGATTCATCCCGGTAGCACTAAAATGTATAGGGACCTAAAACCCTACTACTGGTGGCCGACGATGAAGCTCGATGTTGCAAAGTATGTGGCCGAGTGTGTAACTTGTGCAAGAGTTAAGGCACAACATCAGAAACTATATGGGAGTTTAGAACCCTTACCTGTACCCATGGGTAAATGGGAAGACATCACCATGGATTTTGTAACTAAACTGCCCAGGACGAAGAACGGTCACGACATGATTTGGGTGGTCGTGGATCGTTTCACTAAGAGTGCACACTTCATAGCAGTCAACGAAAGGTGGTCTATAGATAAGCTCGCAAATGCTTACGTGAAGGAGATAGTAATACTTCACGGTGTTCCTCTAACGATTGTATCGGATCGTGATAGTCGTTTCACATCACGATTTTGGAGAAGTCTACAAGAGGAATTGGGTACGAAGTTGTGTTTGAGTACAACTTACCATCCGCAGACTGATGGTCAGAGCGAAAGAATGATACAAACACTCGAAGATATGCTAAGAGCATGTACCCTAGAATTCCAAGGTAACTGGGATGAGCACTTACCTTTGGTAGAGTTTTCCTACAACAACAGTTCCCACTCGAGCATCAAGATGGCACCCTATAAAGCTTTGTATGGACAGAAGTGTCGTATGCCGTCTTGTTGGCTTGAGATCGGAGAGAAGCAGTTTATGGGCCTCGAGATAGTCCACGAGTCCACTGAAAAGTTAAAGGTGATCTAGGAAAGGATGTTAGCAGCTCAGGATCGTCAGAAGAGTTATGCTGACAAGAAAAGACGAACGATGAATTTTGAAGTTGGAGATTCCGTTTTGCTTAAAGTCTCACCATGGAAGGGACTTATAAGATTCAGAAAACGAGGGAAGCTGAGTCCAAGGTTTATTGGACCGTTCAAAGTTCTTCAGAGGGTTGGGAACCAAGCCTACAAGCTCGAATTACCCGAAGAACTAGATGATATTCATAACACCTTCCATGTGTGTTATTTGAGGAAGTTCACGGGAGAAGTTCCTGACATAATTCCAATCTCAGAGTTAAGGATGGATGAAAATAAGAGGCTAATCGAAGAGCCCGATGCAATCGTTGACCGTAAGACTAAGAAGTTACGACGCAAGATGGTCGACTTAGTGCTAGTCCGATGGAAACATTTGAATGGGCCGAATCTCACTTGGGAAACAGAGAGTGACATGATGAGTCGCTATCCACATCTGTTTGTTGATGCATGATTCCGGGACGGAATCATCCTAAGGGGGACAGAATTGTAACGCCCGGGTTTCGGGGCTAAGCATTAATAGATGATGCAATAGTCTAGGTCAACTATTGTAACTCTTTTTGAAGTAATAAAAATGAATTATTTGAGTATTATGTGAATTATGTGAATTTATGTGCTCACCAGGCTCCCAAGACTGACCCACTCAGTTTCATGTATTACAGGTAGTGGCGCTCGAGCATAGATGTGATGTTTTGGATGAGGGATTACAGATATAGGCCTGTAGATATGAATAAATGTAGTAAGGCTTATATTGTACTATTTATGCTTTTGATCTGTATCGAACATGACATCCCGAGGTTTTTTAATGAAATACATTTCTACGGAAATGCTTTGATAAATCTTTATCATATTTTATTTTGGGAACAAATTCCGCAACACTTTTATTTAAAATGTTACTCTGATTTTTAAACAAAGCATAAACAAAATCGGTCTTTTCTGGCCGTGAAAATGAGGATGTCACAGAATTAGCCTTTACTTCCTATTAAGCTTCCTTCATTCTCATAGATTCTGCAAAACATCAAAATGCAAATTATCACATCAGGTACCAAGAATCTATGAATAGGAACCTAATAAAGTTAGATAGTGGATGTACCTAAAGCAGAGCCATACAATTTGACTTTACCATCTCTAAGATCTCTCAAGTAGTCTGGGCAGCTTCGCTTCCAATCCCCCTTCAATCGACAATAGAGAAAGATGGACTCTTTAGGAGTGACACGTGAAACTATGTCAGAATTGGCCTTTCTCTTACGGTCAAACTTTTTGACCTTGGCCGGTTTCTCTTCCTTAGGAGAAGAAATCATTTATGGACTATCATCGTTGTCATTGCCTACGTCCATGGAAATTTGGGAGGTAGATCTTCCAAACAACTTTGCTTGACCAGTGCGCCAAAGCATTGCTGTTTCAACAACAATTAGCAAATATGTCAGATCAATAAGGGTCACGTCGTGGTCTGTCATATAATAGTCCTTAACGAACTGACTATATGACTCAGGAAGCGATTGAAGAACCAAGTAAACAGCTAGCTTCCTTGGGAAAACGACACCCAACATTCCCAGTCTGTCAATGTGCGACTTCATCTTCAAGACATGTGCACACACAGAACTTCCATCTCGATGTTTGCATGCCAATATAGCTTGAGTGACCTTGAACTTTTCAAGTCGACGAAAACGTGGGTCATGGAGAATCACTGGAGGAGGTGGAGGAAGTGAATTATGATTTCCAGTTCCACCAATGCACGAGGAATGGAATGATCTTTCACCTTGATCGACACGTGGAAGATCATCTTCAAAAGGAAAGCTTTTTCCAAAGGATTGAGGAAGACATAGTTGTCAGAAGTAGACATCTACAAAAAGGAGAAAATTCAAGTGAGTTGATTTAATCCTTAATATAACACCCAAATGAAATATTAAGGCTAAGACCTAACACAATAATTCACAATTTAGAAGAGGGATGTCGTATTCCAATTGTAAATTATTTGAAGGTAGGTAAAATGATGATTTACCAATTCCACCATGAAAACGAATTATGTTTTAGATGAAATTCCTAGATCTTTTGAGATTCATTGAACTTTTTAATGGCATGTTTAATCTCGATTATGCTCTCACTTTGTGACTGGCATGCCGAGGTTCACAAACAAGATGTGATTTTTTTTAAAACGGAAAATCTAATCTACTCCTAAACTACTCCATAAATCCACCTATGTCCACGACGGGACTTGAACCCTCAACCTCAAGGACGGAGGGCAACACCAGATACCGTTGGGCTAGAAGCCCTTTGGTAAACGAGATGTGAATAACCATGCAAATTAGCTTGGTACTCTCGATGTCATTTATCACCTAATCAATGTGCTGGTTAACCACACACGCTCTATTGATCAACGATAATTTACGAGAAACTCATTGCCAACAATATTAGTCCCATATTAGTCTGCCGGTTAACCACACACGCTCCACTAACGACCGATAAGGTGCAATGTGCAATTTCATGGGTTAGCATCAAATTCACATTTTTCCTAAAGTAACTAAGATTGAGAATTTAATAAAAGAGTTTAGTTACTTTATAATTAATTATACTTTTAATGAGAGTTTAGTGTCCTATTAAACTCGTTCGGCTAACGACCCTCCACTAGTCAAGGGTGTGGTGGGTAAGAGTGGATACCCAATGACGGTCATTTTACAGGCCGCTTCCTTAAACACCCCTTATAGACCAGCTTCGTGAATGATCTCTACTAACGGTAAGACTGACTTTTCTTATACATATATAATATATTAGACTTTTAATTTTATAGAGTATAAGGGTGCATTTTAAACTTTTAAAATACTAAGTGGTTTAATCCTTTAATAAATTAAACTTTTAATTTAATTAAATTTAAACCATATATGGATTTATTAATTGTCTCCAGTGTTGTAAAAATCGCCCTAGGCAGCCAATTAATCGGCGCCTAGGTGCTAGGCGGATTGCAACCAACCACGTTTATGTGTAATCGCTCAAGGTAATCGGGGCTGGTCAACGTCGGTCAAGCTCGGAGCTAATCGGATATAATTGGAGCTAATCGGATCTAGGCGGTTTAATTGGTCAACTTCGGTCAACGGATTTTCAAAAAAGATTAGGGGCAAAATTGTAAAAACTGAAAACTTTTTGCTAGGGTACGTTCTCACTTCGCTCGTTCCCACTTCACTCATTCCCGTCCCTGTGAAAAGTTTTCTATGGTTTCTCTCTCGACTCAAAGCTGAAATAGGAGAAGTGGAAGCTCGCCCTCGCCATCGCCTCTTACTGTCAGAATCTGTGAAATCCGCCATCATCGCTGTTAGAGCCACATTTGTCTTCCGTGTTCCGACAGTAGTTCGCCTAATCTACACATGTTAGTTTTTCAAACTCGATTTATGCTATCAAATTTCGATTTTATCTATTGTCCTCGATTTAAGTTGTTAATCAACTGATTTGTGATGAACTGCTGATGAAGTATATACTCAATTTTTCTGTTAAACATGGAAGACGCAAGTCTGTTCACAAATCGATTCTTTTGGTAAACATGGAAGATTGAAGTCCGTAATCAGTAATCTTTATAACTTGTTTCCAGTACTTTGGCCCAATTCTTTGATCTTTACCTATTGAATAAGAAACTTGGGTAACATTCGAACCTGTTAATGTGATTGAGTTTACCTGTTGCTTCACATAGAGAACTGAGATTGAGTTTACAGAACATGTTATTTGTGCTAACAAATCATTAGCAGCGAGTTTGGAAATGTGATTGAGTTTACATAACTTGTTTACAGAGCCTGCTAATATGAATATGGTGTTAGTGTGATTTTTTAATGATATGTGAGTGAGTATTTTTAATGTGTTAATGTGATTTTTTTAATGTGTTAAACTGATATGAATATGGTGTTAATGTGATGATATACTCAATAATCAATATTAGATGAAGTGATGATAAACTGATATGATACATAGTTTGTTGATTTGAGTGAAAATTTCTAATGTGTTTTTGTTTCAAAATCGTAGCTAGTTGGTGGGGACTATTTAGTGGCATAACTCCTCATTTGACAAAGATTGCAATAAAGATTCTTTCTTTAACTAGTAGTTCATCGGGTTGTGAAAGGAATTGGAGCACGTTTGAAGGGCTTAGTAATATAAAGCATTAAATTTATATTTTATAAAATTTAAATATTAAGCATGTTTAAACTCTTTGTTGTGTTTAAATTTGTAGGTACATTCAAAGAAACGAAATAGATTGGAGGCAAGCAAATTGAACAATCTTGTTTATGTTCAATTCAATGCTAATTTAATGGAGAAAAACAAAAAGAGAAAAGATAGAAACATGGAAGTGCTATTATCAAATCATTCTCTCTTCGCTCAAGAATGGATTGTTGATTGCGATGATTGTGATGTAGATGAAGTAGACCCCAAAACGGTTGATGAAGCTCTTGAAACCAATGTCAGTCAAGCACCCCGAGAAAGTCCAAAAACGAGAGAACTTTTCGATGAAGATTTCGAGTCCGAGAGTGAGGAGCAAGTGTTAGAAGAAGACGAATATGAGTCGGACGGGGTTCAAATAATGGAAGTATGTGGAGAAGATTAGAAGATAATTGTTGTGCTTGTTAAACTTATTTTTTACTTTTATGGACTTGTTGGATATGATTTTGTGTGATTGTTAAACTTATTATTAAACTTTTATGCTTATTTTGGATGATAAATGGTTGTGCTTGTTAAACTTATTAAGTTATTATTAAACTTTTATGCTTATTTACTTATATTCTTAGTATTAAAGTTAGATTTATAAAATTTTGAATTATTTTTTTAATATTTATAGGTCCCCGATTAATCCCCGTCTAGCCGATTAATCCCTAGATCCCAGTCCACCGCCTAGCTAACGTCTAGTGTTTTCTGCAACCTTGATTGTCTCTTAATTAATCTTTTAATTAAATTAATAATAAAATCCATAAAGATATCTTCTAGGTTTTTCCATTTAAATTTTCAAAAATAAACTTTTAATTTCAAATTTAAATTATAAAACCAAAAGGGAGCATTTTAAAAAAAACTTTCAAAATACTAGGTTAAATTTTTAAATCAAAATAATTTTATCATTATCCAAATTTTAACCAAATCCTTTAATTATGATAAGGATATCATATTACCATTCAAAAAATCAATTTTAGAGAGTAAAAACGAAATAAGGCAATTATCCTAATCAAATAAAAATCTGAAAATCGAAAAAAATAGGCAACTGACGAGTCAACTCGTCGAGTTGGGCAATGAACTCGTCGAGTTCTCCCAACTCGTCAAGTTCATACAAGAACTCGTCGAGTTCCATGATTAAACAGCAAAAATCGATTTTCTTCCACTTTGGACAGTTCACTATTGCATCAATTCAATTGAAAAACAACCTGAATCTGACACTACTGATGGGTTTTGAGCATAACAACAAACCTATGTGTTCATGCAACCCTAATTGCTTTGCATCTAAGTATTTCACTAATTGAACATGCAAATTGAATACCAAAGCAATAAACCTAAAACTAGCATACAATTTCGAAAAACATATAAAATTAGGGTTAGAATATTACCTCACTTGTTATATAGTAATAACAAAAACAATCTTGAAGATCATTGACTCTTGAAAGCTTAATGTCCCAAATGTTGCACCTCTAATGGTTCACAAACACCCAATGCAACAAGATGAGTGGAGAGACAAGGAAAATCGGCTAGGGTTATGTATTATATGCATTCGCCAAAAATTCCATGAGGTAGAGTTCTTAATATAGTTGTAGGCTGCTAGGGTTTCTGGAGGAAACCCTAATTCCTGCTTAAGGCTTAAGCAGACCATGGACTTTTAATTAGCAAGCCTTGGACGAAATCTATAGGGCCTCCCTATAGGATTTCGTCCACTCCTAATTAAGGAGTCCATCAACCCAATTCTGCAACTATTAATGATTTACAAAACAGCCCCTCCATTATTAATCAGTTCCTTTAATCCCAAAATTAATATCAAATTATTTTTTGATTAAATACTAATTAATAATATGATTTCCAAATAATAATCTTGTAATATATTAATAAAATCATTTTGAGTACCAATTTATTATTTCACATAATAAATTCTACTCTCTCTCTCTCTCTCTCCATTATTCATCCTGTCAAGTTGCATGAGTGAAGGCAACCCAAAAAGACCACGCTACAATCAAATCAAGTACATACCAATGATATTTATGGGCTTAGACACCTAATCCAACATTTATATGGTAGTGGTAGGGGTGAGATAGACCCAGTAATCGGTTGGAATAAACCGTAGGGTAGGTCGGGAACCCATATATGTCTGACAAGGGTAGGTCGGGCACCCAAATATGCCTGACAAAGGTAGGTCGAGCACCCAGATATGCTCGACAGTATCCGGTTGAAATAGACCGAAGGGGTAGGTCGGGCACCCAGATATGCCTGATAGTATGTTTGTATTATATTTGGTATTTGGGGAACTCACTAAGCTTCGTGCTTACAGTTTGTGGTTTGGTTTCAGGTACTTCCAGTTCGGAAGCGAAGGGCCCGACTTGATCGCAGCGCATACACCCGTGTTTTCCACAATACGTGATTTTGGGATTTAACTATGATAATTGTGTTACTTAGAAATGTTTTTAAATGTTTGAATCAAGTTACATCCATGTTTTGATTGTAATAAAAACAAAATTTTTGTCCTTGATTTTTGGGATGTTTCAAGTTGGTATCAAAGCCTTGGTTTGAGGGATTTGGGCATACTCTCGGCTGTGCCTGAACTCAAACTGAGGGTTTGGTGAAAATCTTTATAAAATAAACATTTAACAAAAAGGAATTTCTAATCAAAGAAAGGGGTGTGATACGTGCAATCGGCCGAGCTCAAGTAAGTGGTTCCCAGAATACCAATACATGTTTATGATATGATTATAAGAATTGTTTACTAGATTAGGGCTAAGGATCTGCTCAGTAATATATGATGGGAGAGATGCCTTTTTATGCCTGATTGTATGAGCTTTAGAATTGCATGCTAGTATAGATTCCTGATAAGAGGATAGAATGGCTTGATTAGTGTATGTTGATTAGATTTTATGTTGCCTGAATGCTGCTTGATTTGTGCTTTGTGGGACTCTTAGCAATATGAGTTAGCTACTAAGTGAATATGCTAAGTCACATGTGACACAAGCTGGATAATCTCAAAGTGATGGACTTGACCCTATTGCGCAACTCTCGTTTGAGTCCAGCCGTTCTAGGATTGAGTCTTTTACTCGAAGGATTATCTGATCTCTGTTGCATGTGACTATATTCATGAGGTAGCTAGTTGACATTAATGGGAATCCTTCAGTAGCTGAGGGTAGGGTGATGTCGGGAACCTAGGAGAGCCTAGGATGTGCTTCAGTGGGTTTAGTAGTGCGGTTTACTGAGTTTTTGTGCATTGGTTTGAGGAAGTGACTTAGAGGATTCGGTAGGATTGCCGAGGAAAGTATGGATAGGTGTGGAAGGCAGTATTGGGCCCGTACTACTGGAAGCACATGATCCATACTCGAATTAGTGAGAGTCTTGGAGAATCTAAGAAGCTTATGGGAGGAGGGTTCTTGAGGATGTTTCGATCTTTGGCATAATGTATTTCAATTTGGAGATGAACACTCAGGGAGGTGGATCAGGTTCTAGTTCTGGTTTTGGTTCGGGTTCTGGCTCAGGTGCAGGTGTTGAGCCGATTAGCGAGCATATGCGGGTGTTCATCTTGTCGGGGATTACCCGCGGTATGTTGGATCAAACTTCTGTGATCTTTGGTTCATTCAAGGATGGGATTTTGGAGGTATTGGACAGTCGTCTCGGGACCTTTCAGGCCGAGATTATAGTAGGGCAGTTGGGGGCACTTCTGGACCCCGAATCTTGTGGATCCCTAGGACCCTTCAGGAAGGAGGATCCTGTTGTTAGCTTTTGTCATTTGGGATTGGAGGTGAGTTGTGCACCATGTCTTCAAGGGAGTCAACCATATGGTTGGATTGTCGCAAAGGTTTCACGAGCCCTCCGCGAGGAGTTACCCGACATCTTTAGGCGTGTCGCTAATAGAGTGGTCGTCGGGATAGAGGGACGGGCCTCAGCTATTTAGGCGGTCGATGAGGTGGTCGGGTTAACCCGAGAGCAGGAGATTGGCTTAGATAGTTAGCTAAGGAAGAGGAAGAGGACTTCTGGTGTGGCTCGACAATCTGAGCAGTTGGACGCTGCCGTTGCTGATGTCAGAGACCCAAGGGGTCGAGATGGTTGCACGAGGAATGAGGGGACACAGGAGGATGTACGCATCAGGTCTAAGTGCGGCAGGTGCGGATGGAATGGTCACAACCGCCAAGAATGCACATTGGAAGTAGAGTTATGCCATCGTTTTCATCGGCTTGGTCATATCAGGAAGAGAGATTCGAGGTTTCTTTAGACAAGATTGCGGGTATGTTATCTTTTTCCTTCTTTGGTTGTTATTCGTGTTTTTAATGCTTGGGATTTTGTATCATTTTGGGTAAGAGTTATTTTTGGTTTATCCCTTCATTTATGTTTGGACTATATCTTCAAGAAGTGTTATTTGCCATCTGCATTCCATGAATTATTAGTGGTTAGTGGAAGGTTGTTTTCATTTTAGCGGGTTTGGAGTGTTCAATATTATCTTGGTTTATGGTCGAGATCGGTTCAGGGGCACTGTGTGGAAGGTTTATGGCCGGGATTCGGCAGGTTGGTTCTCCAGTAATCATCAGGGTTCAATGGTTTAAATAATGGTTCCGGTAAGAGCGGCGGGTGCCTCCGAGAGAACCGTGGGTTCAAGTTTTGCGGATTGGTAGAAGGAGAGGGGTAACGGGAAGATGGTAGTTGCATGAGTTGATTTGGTCATCATAAGCGTCAGAGTAGTTTCATATTTTCTCAGGTTAAAGTCGATTAGGATTCAGGGATTCTTCAAGAATGGGTGTTGGGTTGTAGATTCGTCAGTCGGGGCAAGTGTTATGATTTTCTGTCGCCAACATAAGAACTCTAGGAATTGGTATGGTAATATGGGAGGTGGTTTGGACTATCTGATTGGTTAAGATTTCAAGAGTATCCTTCAGAATTTCGAGAATTGGGGTGATCATTGAGCTTGGCTAGCAATGGAACGCTAGTATTGTCTAGCATCGTTAGGATTCAGTGATTTCAACCATTGTGCTTGGATTTGCTTTTGGAAACGTCAAGGGAAGTGGTCTATTTCCGAGGTTTTGGTCTGAGCATCGGTTATTTGGACTTCGAGAGTTGAGTGCGGTATCATTTCAATGCATCCGGAGTTGTCATTTTGCTAGGATTCAGGAAGTGTTCATCTGGTCTTTAGAGGTTTTGCGGTCTTTGGGGTTTGGCTAGTGATGGAGTACTAGCACTGGTAAGCGCAGGTTGTCAGCAGTTTAATTATTAGAGGGTAAGAAGGATTGGGAATCCTTCAATTCTCAGGTGTTGTGAAGACTTAGTCGAACCAAAGTGGGGGAGAATCGTTCAGGTATTCAGGAACAAGAGCAGTTATGAAGCTAGGACGAGTTTCGCATCCCCGTCGGGGAGGAAGGCGGCCCAAGTGGCTGTCTGGATTGA